TTGCCAGTTCTTGCCACTCCCCTCCCTCATGGACTTCCATGACCTAAACTGGCTCAAGCCAGTGCTCACGGGACATCAAACAACACAAGTTGATTCACACTGTGCCAGAACAACTTAGGTGGCTATAAAGTTTGTTTGTTTGTTTGTTTTTTATCGTCACTACTAATAATGCTATGCTGTATACATTTTCAAATCTAGATATTAAGAGGCAAATTCTTTTAGAAATTATTTATCCCCACAGGATATAGTACAAAATATTTACTCTACTGCAGCCATATATATGACAGATTAAGTGTCCCTATTTCAGAGAGGCTCAAACTGTCGACCAAAGGGCACAACTAGCTCAGGGCAGACGAAATTGTTATCTAATCTTTTTTCCTGTGTTAACTTTAACACAGAGAATTGAAATAATTAGATGTGAAGGTATCTTGATAATCTACAAAATAGCTTACTTTTTTTTTTAAGATTTTATTTATTTATTTGACAGAGAGAGAGACAAGGAGAGAAGGAACACAAGCAGGGGGAGTGGCCGAGGGAGAAGCAGACTCCCCGCAGATCAGGGAGCCCAATGCGGGGCTCAGTCCCAGGACCCTGAGATCATGACCTGAGCCGAAGGCAGACGCTTAACCAACTGAGCCACCCAGGTGCCCCCAAAATAGCTTACTTTTAAGCAACCAACTGTTGCTTGCTTAAACTTTTTTGGTTAGTAATGTTAAGTGTAGGAAGACCTTATAAAGCATTATGATCTAATATTAATTCAGTCCAAAGAGGCAGAAGTAGCTGACTTGTCACCAGGATGACTCCCCACAAAGTCAAACCTAAAGTTTTATGTCTCAACTTTTTCAGAAATGATGTAAAGAGATTTCTAAAATCACCATATAATTTTTTGCAGTGATAATTTAGAATTTAATAGACATATCCATAAATAAATCATTAATTTGAGGAACTTTATAGGAAGTGTCTAATATAATCAAATATTATAATACTTTATTACAAAATGCAAAAAGCACGCACTCCTTTTGTTTGAATATCAAATATAGTTATAAATAATTTAGGCCTTCAATATATAACTTACTTAAAATATAAAATACTAAAAATGATGCAGAACTACTATGGAATCATGTTCTCTGAAATCTAATTGCTATATACAATTTAAGGTTACTGATTAAAAATGATTAGCCTTTAAGATAAATAGAACCAATGTCATATCATGCTATTATTTAATTAGCATGTTATACATTAAACTCAGCTTAAAGACAGCCAAAGTAACACTTAAAAGGACAGCATGATAATTAAGAGTTGCCATTTATCTTATTTTTATCATAAAACTCAGTCCTGGAATACAATGTGAAAAAGTCTAGAAACCCGAATGTGTGATTTCCTAAATATTTTGATTTCTAATTCCAAACATTTGGATATTTTAAACTTCCTAGTTTTTGTTAATTTATGTACAAAAATTCATATAATATTAATTTCAACTTTTGCTGTCAACATGGTTATCTCGGAGACAGAGGATTTTATATTATTTCTCCTAGTAAAATTCCCAATCCATTCTTATTTTTGACTGCATCATTGCGGCAACTTTTCCATAAAAAGGCTATAAACATTCAGGCCTAATTAAAAAAATAATTACCGTGCCATCTAGTATAGAATAAGTGTGGGAAGTCTCTATAACCAAAAGTATGTCTATATCAAGAGAGATACTCACAGAATATTCTCTCCCTCACCCAGGAACCCACGTTCTAGGGAGGCATAATGTAACGAGTGATTACCAGTAATCTTTTAGGCTCGTTTAAGGAAAATTAAAAGAAATCCTGCAATCATAGATTTTACATCAATTATTTGATCTCTTTCCAGTTCATGACCTCTACTTTCTTCTAGCTTCAGGATGAAAAAAAATTCCATACATATCTTTGTTATCATCAGCAATTATCAGCAATTCAACATTAATTTTAAATGGTCTGATTTTAGAATAAATGTCTTTTTTTTAAGATTGAATTTATTTATTTGACAGAGAGAGAGACACAGCGAGAGCGGGGAGCAGGAATACAAGCAGGGGGAGCAGGGGAGCGAGAAGCAGGCTTCCCACTGAGCAAGGAGCCTGATGCGGGGCTCGATCCCAGGACCCTGGGACCATGACGTGAGCTGAAGGCAGACGCTTAACGACTGAGCCACCCAGGTGCCCCAGAATAAAGTTCTAATAGGAGTACTTACTATGCTTATTTTCCCCTGCAAATTTCATAATACCTGTAAATAGAAAAACTGTGTCTTCTAACTACTAAAGTTTTCAAGCCCCTTTTTTGTTCAAAATTTACATGTTGTAACATTTTCCCTCAAAAAATTCTGACACAGGACACTTACAGCTTTTATCAAATTGTGATCCTGAAGCCATTATTTTCAGTATCAGAGAAATTAGAGCCTCATTGCTGTTTTTAAATATCTTGAGTTTCTCTGATAAAAGGTAGTATAATATACAATAGGATTTTGGCTTCAAGATCAAGTCTGTATTTACAGTAACTAGTAAGAAAATAGTGAAGTTTGAGGTTACCAGGATAATGACTGAATGCCAAGTCCTAGACACTGGACAAAGTACATTCAAGGGTCAATAAAACTCTGGGAGCCTGTGAGCAGAGACTGATGCAATAGGGTGCGGTGGACAGAATATAGACATAAGATTCAGATGTAGCCGAAAGAGAAAGTAAGGATGTGTCTGGGGAAACATCCTAGCTACATTCTGAAGGATGCATGACAGGTGGCTGCCACCTCAGGGAGATTTAAAGAAAAAGTCTGTGCAGAGGCTTTGCAAAACTTTGGTATAATGCATTTGGGAAATTACAAAGTATTTGATATTGCTAGCAAGTGAGCTGGGAAGCAGCAGAAAATAAGGGTACGTAATAGACAAAAGCTAAGGGGCAATCTTGAAAGATAAGAACTATATCTCTGTATGTGGTTCTCAAAGTTGTTGAATTAATAATTGTAGATGTGCTGCACACCAGTGGACTTAGAATGCTAATTTCCATAGCATCTCACCTTTAAAAGGTTATTAGGGTAGGAAAAAAATAACACAGGTATAAAGTTTGTGTGACACCCCTCCAACGGGCCAGGGCTCCCGTCATACACGGTGCTACTATGAAGGCAGCAGGGCACGGCAGGCAGGTGCACCTTCGCTATCCTGCACCTTGTCCTGCCACAAGCTGTCCTAAGGGAAACTAACACAAAATTGCTTTCTCGCTGCAGGTCTTTTCACTGTGCTAATTCTATTTTTTTTTTTTTTTTCAGTGCAAAGCTCTGAAGGGAATTAAATTGGAGAGAAACTCTCTCCGCCTTATATTCCATTGTAACAGAATCACTTCCTTGGCTAATATTTTTATTTATAGAATTTAACTTAAAACTAAGTCTGTTCATTTAGCTTTCCTTTGAAAGTTAAGCATAAGTTAAGTGCAATGCTATCACTTCACCATTTTGCCCCATACAAGTCTCACATGCACAGATAGACATTATTCCTGTTTGTTCTCATCATTAAATGTTTGGACATGAATCCCTAGATTGAGTTTGCTCAGTCTGTGTCCTTATATCTTGAGTACTAGGGTGACATTTAGAACATAGGTTCTGAAAAATATTATCCCTGTACCTTATAATTCTCTTATCTGAGGGCTGTTGACATTGTTGGATCTGTGAAATAGGTAATGTATGCTCATATGTAGGAATAAAAATTTTATCATTATACTTAATTAAAAGGTGATTCCCATGTCATCCATGTTTTGGGAAAAAAGGTAGCAAATAAAAAAATATTTCTTAGAAGTAGATCTCAGACACTATTTTACATTTCATGGTAGATTCAGTCCTTAGTAGAGGTTTTTATTCAAAGTTTTCAACAAAATGTTTTTCATTAAATATTTTCAGTAGCACTGTAAATGATCTGATGTCTTGGTAGACCAACAATAGAGTCGACTTAGGTAAAGCTGGAATGTTGCTAAAACCAAATTTAATCATCATTTGGTCGTTTCCTTATCAAGGATTTCAATTTGACTGACCAATTTCAATTCACAGTAATAGCTTTGTTCCTAAGAGACTCTAAATCAAAGAAATACTCACTAAGGGGCAATTTCTACTGCAATCCAAAGTGTGTGCTATTATCTTGTAGCAGGTGACAGCAAACATCCGCTGTGAACGTTAGTGTACATTTGTAGGAGGTGCGTGGTGTTTTTGGTTTCACTCTATCTCTGAAACCTATCTGCATGTGAGAAAACCCAGGCAATAAAAGAAGTTTTACCGGCACACACTATAGCTGAGCTTGAACTCAATGCAGAGATTTCACTTCCTTTCTTTCCTTGGATTCCAAGCCGGGGGAGCACAATGGGGGTGTTGTGCTCTGGGCTAGCGTGGTATGCATGATACTAGGAAAGGACATGTGAACAGCTTCCAGTATCGACACCGTTTGCTTTACGACTACCCTGAACTAAATCAAACGGCACACAGCAAGACTCTAACTTCGGAACAAGCAAGTGCAAAATCCACTGGCGATTACGACCTACAGAATTCCTGAATTTAAATGTATACATCAGTGTGTTAAGAGTTAAATCCTTGATGAGGCTTCAGAAATGCTCCACAGTTTTCAAGCTGCTGATTTTCCATGCAATTGTCTTAATATATGTCAAAGTACAGTTAATAAAAGGACCCATTGTTTACAAGGGAGAAAGATTGTTGGTTATGAAGACGGTTCAGAACGACAAGCTGTCATGGTTTGTTAAAACACTAAATATCTTAAACTCCAAGCCATATTCATAATGGTTTTTTGTCACACAATTTCTAGGACGTAAATCACTGAAACAACTATGTTTCTGACAGTATTTTGTGGAAATGTATGCGTGTGTGTGTGTGTGCACGCGCGCATGCTTCTTTGGTAAATCCAGATAACACAATGAATATAAATGTTTTAGGTTAAGTTTTGCTCAAAATTATTGTTATGCCGTGCTTTCAAAAAGGGCAAAAAAGCTTACCTCTGTCAGTCAAGTGGATACGCAGGGACCTCCTTCTCAGCCTCGGCCTCAGCCTCAGCGTGCAGGCAGATGCTCTCTGAGCCAACAGTCTGTTAACAGGAAGCAGGTACACCCGAGAGCGTCCGCCTGCGTTACAGTCCGGTGCCCATCCGAGCACACACCTGCTTCTTCAGACCTGCCACTCAGAGGGAGCAGCCCGGCACCGGACCGGACGGCTGTTTGCAGATGGTAACACCTTCCTTTTGGGTCACTCGTTTGCAGGCTGAGCAGCTAGAGAGCTGCTGCGCTCACATGGCAGGGAAGGCTTGCCTTCCCAAGACAAAACCCTTTTCGGCTGTCTGATAGCAGATATGCCGCGTTATCACTCTGCATTCCACTTTCTCAAATCAGCTAATCACAACAGCCGTCAACAGCTTGTCCAAATGGCAGCTCGCCGGCGTGTGTGCGTGGCTCTAATAACCGCATGCTAACATGCCCCTTGCTTCTCTTTTCTCTGAATGGGTTTTTAAAAAAATGCTTCTTCCAGGGTGAAGCTCAGCAGAATTTGCCCCACTGTTTTCCATACGTAAAATGGCTGGTCCTCTCAGCACTGCTGCAGACAGCTCATTGGGTTCCACTGGCTTTTCGTAGTCATAGCAACAACCAACAGACGGACTTAGCAAGCATGGCTGATCATGTGCGGCTCACCGACACAGCTTGTGAATTTCTTTTCATTAAACTCATCATTTTGATAGCTAACAGAAGCTAACTTTCTGAATACTTCACCAATAGCACAAGTGCTTTGAGTTTTCAACTTCCATGAGGAACTTTTGTTATAGGAGCCAGGGCTACATGTGAAATTGAGCAAGGGAAGTAGATGGATTCGGGTCTATCCAGGTTAAAAACATGCAAGTCACCCTAGAGACACTAATTGGAACCACTGTCAAAACAGATTATACTTTCCCGTCATTGAATGGGCACAAGGGAGATTGGCAGATGTAGGCAGTTATACTTTGTGTGTTTAAATGATAAGCTTATAGCCCCTTAACTGAAACAAAGCCCTATGACTCATTACATATGGCCCAAATAACCAAGTCAGATAAGGATATTTTATAAGATGTAACCTATGGATTTCATGTATCTAGTTACTTTAATGTATTTTTATGTATTATACAATTTAAGATAGAATTTTTAAAATTCCGATTGTTTCCTATTGCAGAAAATGATTAACTTAATTATAGTTTATTTGTAATTTAAAAATACTTTGAGGGGCGCCTGGGTGGTGCAATCAGTTAAGCATCGGACTCTTGGTTTTGGCTCTGGTTGTGATCTCAGTGTTTTGTAATCGAGCCCCGCATCAGCCTCCCCCTTCAGCATGGAGTCTGCCTGAGATTCTCTCTCCCTCTCTCTCTGCCCCTCTTGCTCACGTTCTCTCTCTAAAATAAATAATCTTAAAAAAAAAACTTTAAAAATCCAAACCAAATTAAAAATGCTTTGCTTTAAACATTACCTCCAAACAGGAATAGTTTTACTTTCTTTGTAAGATGGATCACACCTCGCTCCTCCTTGAAATGTCACCTGCTTAGAGAGTTTCCCATGGTTAACGCCATTAACCATTTATACGTTCTGCAAAATGCCCACCCTTTTCTTTAATTCTATCACCAGTCACAATCTATTTGATATATTTCCAGACACCATCCCATTCATTTTTGTTTCTAACAACCTATTTGAAATAGCTGTGTAACCACTTTGGACTTATAAATGTAGATGCTTCATTTGCTAGTAGTCATTGACTTAGTATTTTGTAAGGATTTCATTTCCTTACCACGTTAGCATTCTTGCCTTCAGTAGCAATTTGCCAACTTTAGTATACTGAGAATCCTGTGGACACAGACTTGTTGATCCCATTTCCCTTCCCTCTCCTACCAGATTCACATTTGGTAGGATTGAGCCAGCTCAGGGTTTAGCATATCCACTAAAGTAAAGTGGATGGGCTTTTCTGCCTGGTACAGTCCTTGCCCCTCCATATGGTTTTAAGCCTGCTCACGTGTCCTCATTTAAATTACCTTCCCTTAAGTTATTTTGAGTCTGTGGCACCTGAATTTGCCCCTACCTTCAACTTCAGCCTCATAATCTGTTCTTCACGCCCCACATTTCAGCAATCTTGAATTACACCCTATTTCTCGCTTCCCTGTCTAGCAGATATTCCTACTACATAAACACTTCTCAGCCGCATATCAGCCTCCTAGCACCTGTTACCTCCATCCCAATCTGCCTTCTATTTTATCTTTCACCGCTTTGCTCCAATAGACCACCTCACCAATGGCACTTCTGTGAAGGGTATGCAGTAGCCTCCTCTGTGCTTCCCCCGTACCTGGGATCTACCTCGACTGTTACCATACTTGTCACACCCTGTTGACTTAGTAGCCATTTCCTTTCATGTCTGACTCCTATACTGCTCTGGCAAATCCCCAGAGGGCAACTTGGTCCATCCATGTCTTGTCTTCCTTTTTTTTTTTTTTTTTAAGATTTTATTTATTTATTTCAGAGAGAGAGAGAATGAGAGACAGAAAGCACGAGGGGGAAGGGGGTCAGAGGGAGAAGCAGACTCCCCGCCGAGCAGGGAGCCCGACGCGGGACTCGATCCCGGGACTCCAGGATCATGACCCGAGCCGAAGGCAGTCGCCTAACCAACTGAGCCACCCAGGCGCCCTTTCCATGTTTTAATTTTGATTTTAAGATGTTGTATCTTTAATTTTTTTTTAAGATTTTATTTATTCATTTGACACAGAGAGAGAGCACAAGCAGGGGGAGCTGCAGTCAGAGGGAGAAGGAGAAGCAGGCACCCCGCTGAGCAAGGAGCTCAATTCGGGCTCCAACCCAGGACCCTGGGTCATGACCTGAGCCGAAGGCAGATGCTTAACCGACTGAGCCACCCAGGCGCCCCTAATTTTAAAATATTTTAGTATCTTAAAACATTTTGAAGGAGGACCTAAAGTGCTGTTTGAACAGGTGCTGAATGATGGCATAGTCTGTGTTTTAATTCACCTTTCAATATCACACATTTGTTAACATTATAACTTCAGAAGAATTTAAGTGGTTTTGATTAAATGTTGGCATGTTAAAAAGTCATCAAGAACATCTTAGTTCGTTTTGTATTTTAGGATGGGTTTTCTTTGCATTGTCTGAAAATGTCTTTATTCCACCCTTATACCTGATTGAGGATTTGGCTAGGTACAAGAATCTTTTTAGTCATTTTTCCTTTGGGATTTTGAAGGCCTTCTTTTTAAGAATCTTGTATGTTCTTGCCCCACTACGCCCCCAACTGTCACTCCCTCAAAAAGAGAACTGGAAAATACCCAAGCTACCCAGGGTAAGAGACGGGCAGAAACTGAGGCTAAACTCTTTGCTTCTGTGGTGTCCCTGATGGCATCTCTAGTAACTGTTATACGTTACTCTCTGTAGGGGGTTCTGGTATTTCTGTGCTCTTCGGCTTCTTCACCTACTCCAAGCCCTACCCCTCATAACTCTGGCCACCATGGCCCATCGGTGCTGCTCTCACCCTCTGGCTCTGCTCTACCTCATGTCTCTGACTTCCATTGTCCCTCCTAACTTGTTCATTTTTTTTTCAAAAAGTTGCTAAATACAGATTTTCAAGGAACAAATAGGATTTTTCCATTTCCTCTTTCTGAGCCAAATGGGATACGTCATAAATTGCCAGCAGATTTATACCTAGAATGCCCAATGTCAGGTGCTCATCTTTGGTCCAGTCAGCAGTGGTAGGGACACTTGGCATTACATTGTTTTCAAATTTTTGCCAATGCAATAGGTACAAAGTAATAGCTCATTATTGCCTTAATTTGCATTTCTCCAGTTACTGATAGAATTAAACATCTCTTCATGTTTGATGGTCTTTTGGGTTATCTTCTCTACACATTTCCTGTTCATAGCTCTTAGCCTGTTTTCTCTATTAAGGTTGTTGTCTTAGTGTGGAATTTTTAACAAAATGGTCTTTTTTTTTTTTTTACATATTTAAGCATTACAATTAAATTTGCTACATAATTAGAACTTAATAAGATCTCCATTGACATGTAAAGGGAAGCCAGTAATTGACACTAATTGTTTTGTTTTTCAGAAGTGGGTGAAAATCTCCATGCAGAATGTTTTTTTTTTTTCAGTATGAAAATATTACTACTACCATAATATGAAGAATGACTTTCTAAAATAAAACCTAAGGTCATACAAATCTCATCACAGAAAATGTTGGCAGTAGAAGTGTCTTGCAAAATTAATATTGCTCTCATGCTTAAAGTAACAAATAGCATGATTGAAAATGGAGGCCGAGGAGCTGGTACAGATGGAAGGGGGCCAGCCAAGGAGATGAGCAGAGTGCGGTGTGGGACTCTGGGCCGGGTGCTGGGCCAGGGAGAGGGGCTACCAAGTATATCATTGAGACAACGGGTGAATGTGAATGTGGTCTGTATGTTAGGTCGTAGTGGTGCTTGCATTTGAGATTTTCATAACTTGATAATTATATTGTGATGTTAAAGTTCTTAGGCAACTTGGTGAAGTGCCTCATAGTTCAGCAGAAAGAAGAATAATGCGTGATAGTGTATTTGTAGTGTGTGTGTGTGTGTGTGTGTGCGCGCATGGTGTAATTTAGCTCTTACAACGATAGATATATACGTATGCATCTAGCTATTGAGGGCTAGCACAAATATGGCAAAACACCAACACCTGGCGAATCTTGGGTGAAGGGTATTTCCAGTTTATTTTACTCTTCCTTCCAAGTTTGCAGTTTTTGTTGTCAAGATAAAAAGCTTTAAAAAAGGAAATAAAATGAGAATAAAAACAGTGTTCAGAACAAAAACAGATTTAAGGTAAGATTCTTTGATGAGGACTTAACTAGTTATCGGAATTAAAATTAAAGTTGCTAAGTTAGGGATATGAATTAAGGTGATAATTATTGTTACTAATTTTTTAAAGATTTATGTATTTATTTGCGAGAGAGAAAGTGAGAGAGCAGGGGGAGGAGCAGAGTGGGGAAGGAGAGAATCTTAAGCAAACTCCCCACTGAGCAAGGAGCACGACCTCATGAACTCGAGATCATGACCAGAGCCGAAACCAAAAGTCAGAGG